AATAGTAATTTTTAAAACAAAAAGCGCATAAGTTTATGAATATCGTTGATGTAATATTTTTGCAGCTGACTGTACGTTGTATGTTGCTATGACAACGACACAATTGCATTAATCGATATAAAAATTGATCGGAAATAAAACGTCGACTCTACCTATGTCCTGTCCTGTCTTCGAGTTCGTGGTATCTCATTAGTTTAACATTATTCGTACAAAGATTAAGCTAAGTCAGTGTTCCCGATGACCGATTGTGTGTTGCAAGAAATGCTTTATCTTGAAAGGCAATCAGCGTTGTAATGTACAGTGCTATTCAAACTTTATAGCGGATCAAATTCCTTACCATCACACTGGGCTGTCATGACATTAGCTAAAACAATATGATCATCTATCATGTTTTTGAAAAAAAAAACGTTGCCTATTATAGGCATCAGCGGATGTTAAAAAAGAGCCAGCTGTTACGTGTGCTTTTCTCCGCCCGCTCTTTGTCTACTAGTTACCTTGCGAAGACATGTGTTTGCAGCTAGCCCCGAGCCGCTGTAAATTTTGAATCTTATTATACTTATATGATCGTGCATCTAGTAACAAAACAATTCTTAGAATAACGGTCACATCCAACACGGCGCTACAATAAACTCGTTCCTTTCTTGACCCAATGGAAATTTTTAACTGGTAGATATATTTGGGACTATCTGTCGCCCGCCATTTCATCGGTCTAAAATAACTATAAGTAAGATTAGCTTAATATTTAATATTACACATTTTCTTCAATCAATATAGTTCAAATGGCCTAATAACATATGTAATATCAGATCACAAAACAATGACGAATTATTCATTGAATCATCAAAATGTCTGCAATTTAGCAATAGTATTGCAAATTACGTTATGTAGTAACATTACATTCTCCATTCGAAACGATTCCGTCAGGAACAAAGAAGTCGGTCAAATGACGAAATATTTCATGACATCGACAATCATTTCATCATTAATCATATTTAAAGTAAATCATTAATAACAGGGATATTAAAATTACACGTAGACAATAACTACGGGGCTAAATACAGTGCATTCGCTTCAAAGCGATTCCTTAAAGAATTACAATAATAATGTATGGAACTGACGCGTGACAATCACGTGACTTGTCAAAAGTTATTGGCAGTTCTATACATTTCTAAATTTCGTTATGTTATCGATTTAGAGCGAATTCACTTTGTCTAACCATACCTGGATACATAAACCCTCTAGGCCGTTAAAATGGAGGACCCGCGGGCGGCGAATCGGGGTTCGCCGCCTGCATTGCAGGGGTCTCGAGCTGTAGGACTCCCCACGTGTTCCGGGGAGTCCTCGGCGAAGGTCGACGGCAACTTCTGCTGAAGGCGTCGTTGCGGAAGTAGGGCCCGCCACATCTCTATGTGGCGGGCAATCCGCAGACGGGGCTGTGGTTGTGTGCTATTGCGTTCCCACAGCCCCGTCCCTAGCGGGAAGGAGGAACACCGTTGGGTTTTAGTGAGTATACCCGGCGCCCTTATGGCGCCGGGGGACCCTCACACAACCGCTCGCCCCCCGACGGGCGGGCGGTATGTATAAAACATTTCCCAACGTTAAAAAAGGGCGTTAAAATGGAATTTAAATACATACAAACCTATGTACATAAAACAAATTAAAAAAAAAACGTAAGTCACTTATCAGTTGGTTAAAAAGGAACAGTATAAATTATGTCACTGTCAAATCAATCTATAGTAAGAACAAAATGGTGTACGCAGAATGCAAACGACTCGCCTCGTGTTCACTGGACCTAATTTAACTGCAGATGTTAATTTGTTAAGATAAAATGTATAGCGTTTAATAAATTGATCGTTAGATATATCCTAACTGAACCCAATAATCAATATAGAAATATTTTAACGATATTTTTAATTAACATCTAATAGTTGAAGAACTCGTAAAATCCGATTTATCAAAAAGATCAATAAATCTAATTTAGTGCTTTTCAAAGAATTAATAATAATAAAACATATTTCAATAAGAATGACTTAACTCTATATTAATTATTAAGTGACTAATTAATTAATCAACCAAAATAATACTATAAACTATATACTAAAACTAAACCAAACTAAAAATTAAACTAAATAATATAAAAAATCGACCTCAAATCGCTGTGGTCGCACGGTAGGGTTCCCAAGAGGCTGGCGGCATTTCCCCGATGGATGGCCAGGCTCAACCTTTGCCCGAAATGCGCGCCAAAAAAAAGTATTTTCTTTTCAAAGTATAGTATTTTTCAAACATATTAACGGCTCAGAACATCCAATGCATCCTTTACGTATTGCGTAGCGCGCAGACCTTGAGCCGCCAAGATATTTGAAAAGACTTATAATTCTTCGAATAAATTTTAAAGATTGAATATTGGAGTCTGCAGTAATAAAATAGGTCTATTTTATTATATTGCAATGTCTAATATTAATGTTCTAGGTTCTACTCGTAGTTTAAAGATTTGTTTGAAGAAATCTTTGAGTAAACATCTTGAGGACATCTGCTATTATATTCAATGTTATAATACTTAAGGCAATTATATTAATACATATTTATTGTATATTATATAATCTAATGATAACATTTGTATGTAATAGAAATCAGGGTTGTGCTGCGTCAGCTAAAGGTTAAACAAGGTCAATAAACTTCCGCATTTAATTGTCTGATTTTGAATTTAAATAGTACTACAAATGAACAAATGTTAGGTATCTTAATGTAAGTTTTCATTGTATAAACACATGTATAAAAACATTCTGTAGTTTTCTTTAAATTGAACAAAGACATTTGTTACTTTAGATAGAATACTACGATTTAATGTTCTGTATCTTTAGTGAATTTTGCGTACTTTTTGTTTATAATAACTCCTTGTTATTCAAAGCAAATAACTTCGACAGTGTAATTATATTTATGATAGAGTTATCATATAGCTGGTCACATCTGGCACGAGCCAGTCCCCTCCCCTTCCCATCTGCGTCATATCTGCTTATCTAATTAGGATGAACTCACGCAAAATAATTTAAATATTTCATACGTACATACATACATTTATTCTTTTTCGTGACATAATTATTTTTTTATGTCATAAGGTAGCAAACGAGCGAGCGGCCACCTGAAATCGCTGAAATAGCGAAGTGACCGTTGCCCATAGATATACGCAATTGCATATGCGTTGCCTACCTTTAATGTTTTCCCTTTCCATACATCCTTTCATCCGGAAAGTCCACTTCCACTTCCCAACCTTTCCTTATAAGAAAAAGGGTGGGAAGGGAAAGAGTACTAAATTAGGCCTGCGGAACGCACACTCAGCAGACGAAACGCGGAATTTCTTCCACTTCACGCCGGTCTTCTGTGTGGTCGTAGTATTTCCCCGGGCGAGCCGGGCCGATTCGTGTGAAGATGTTAAAGCGGGCTCTACCACTGTTAAATTCTATAAAGAAGTTACACTACAAAAATTGTCGTTGAGACTAAATGTTTTCATCGTCATTGTTTGCGGTTCCCAAATCATTATGTTACATCGACCTTCACCTATATAACGACGACGCAATTAATATGACTGCTGCTAAGGTCAACGGACAAAAGATCAGACGAGTGATCTTTTGAATGTTTAGTTGTTGTCAAGAGAAATGGAATACGAATTATTTATTCATATTTAAATTATTTTTTTTTGTTTGTTGCATAGTATCAGATGGTAAACGATCTGGGAGGTTAGACAAAGTGCATTCGCAACGAAGCAATTCCATAACGAACTTCAAAAATGTACAGAACTGAGAACTTTCGCTGTCACGTGATTGTCGCGCGTCAGTTCCATACATTTTTGATGTTATACGGAATCGCTTCGTAGCGAATGCACTTTGTCTAACCCCCCTGGTCACTTCGTATAATAAGATAGCGAAGTAAATAAAATAGCGAAGTGACCGCTGTCCATAGACATCTAACACAAATTGAAATATTGTCAATGAGTTTTTTTACCTTAAATAGGAGATTAGTTTTTGAATAGCAAAATATCAAAGACGACACATTGCATACAATAAAAATTAAGGAAAATTATTTTTAAATATAATTTAAAACTTCCTATTGAGATGGCATGTTTTATATAGCCCATTCCCATTGCGATTTAAAATATTTTCTAACGTAATAAACAAAGCGATTTTCTTTGACGGAATTTAGCAACTTTTAGTAATTTTCGTTCCAGACGTTATAACAACAAAAAAACAACTGGAATTTCAAATAAGTATGAAATGCTTATTAAATAGTAACCGCTTATTTCTGATATTAAAATATAGTATTTATATGTAACACCATTGTAAGCAAAAAAAACGCGATATTAAGTCAGTTGTAGGTTATCATGTTGGTACAGTTAATTTATACACTAACAATTGCCAGCGACTTCGTTCGCGCGGAATTTTAAAAAAAATCTTGAAGTAAATATACCTCATGTCACTCTCAGATAGTGTAGCTTACCAACAGTGAAAGAACTTTTCAAATCGATTCATTCAAACCTTTCCTCTTTATAATATAAGTACAGATTATAATTCTGGACTTTGTCTTGTGTATTAAGGGAGAACCAGTATAGTATTTCCAATGAGTTCCTTATAAGAAAAGTATGGGAAGGAAATGGAAACTAAAATCAGACCTTTGGCACGCACCTACGTTCCTAAAGAATGTTCTTAACACACTAATTTACGATTTATACTAAACATGATTCAAATTATTACATGTTAATATTTAAATTTTTTGTTATTTATAATACGTCAAAGTTCCAAAATATACGATAAAAAGAGAAAGAAATTTTGGAATATATGTGTATTTAGAAATGGTAGTTTTAGTTTTGAATATCGAATAGTTTGATTAAAATTAGTTAATACTTGCAGACCTCAACACAGTTAAGAGATAACTGAACTGTGTTTTTACAACACGCGATACGTCGCTGTATTAAAACAAAATAATTGCTAATGACATATTTATTTGCTTATCAATATTCTTATAACGCGTACGTTATTCTTTAAACAAAATTAAATGTTAAAATGTTTGAAGAAGAAAAGTATTTTAAATTGTTGTTTTATTTGTGAAAATGTCGAGAAAATCTAAATGGATAACACCTTTCTTAAAACAGGTAAAACATTTTTTTTTTGTAATTTAATCCTTTTCAAGACAATAATCCTGGTCCATAATCTCCGTACCAGTACCATGTTAGTGTTTAAAAGACTAGAATGAATACGCGCTATATACCAGCGGTCGCCCGCGATTCCGTTCGCGCTTAAAAATTCCGATTTAAAAAATAATTAGTAGCCTATATGTTTTATATGTATGCCAAATTTTATCGAGATCCGTTCAGCCGTTTTGGAGATACCATCAAACAAACATCCATCTAAACATTCGCATTTATAATATTAGTAAGTTAAAGCAAAGCGCATACGATTTATATTACGCGCACATATTATAACTAAATAATATATAGGATTATTAAATAAATGTACCTACAGTTTATTACATAATATTCTTAATTTCAACACCGCAATTAACTTAAACGCTTGAGGAATTAATTTGAATGAGAACTTTAAACCTCTTGTTAAATATACCAAATTTTTTCTATTGCTTATATTTTTATCTCAATGTGTTCATGTAATAATATAATAAATGTTTGATAACTTCTGTGCTCGTACAGATAAAAATATATAATATAAAATTCTCGGGTCACAATGTTAGTTACCATACTCCTCCGAAACGTCTTGACCGATTTTTGTGACGTATACTGGCTGTCGCTCGCGCGGAATTAAAAAAAAAGTTAGTAGCCTATGTGTTCTTCCAGACTAGTTCTATATGTATGCCAAACTTCAATAAGATCTGTTCAGCCGTTCTAGAGATACATCCAAACAAATTCATACATCCATTAATCTAAACATTCGTATTTATAATATTAGTAAGACTAATAAAATTCAATGGGTCTGAGAATCGGCTAATTTTATAATCACGTGCGGACGAGCCGGGCGACAGCTAGTAATATTGTAAAATAACACACAAGAAAAATTTAAGGTCAAAAGGGATGGTAAGGCAAAGTGGATTTATCTTCTCGTGGTAACTCACTGGTTTGCCATCTTGTGTTATAAAAAAACTTTCTTTTGTATCAGTCTTTCGTAACATCGGGTGTGACATTGAACCTGGCCGGGCATGGCATCTGTAATGGATTCGCAGCCATCCTGCTCCCACAACTTCAAGCACCAGATTCTTCTATACCTATTGACGATTCCTCAGGCTCTTGGATTGGTAAATCATCATCAGCTCACTAAATGACCTCACTGAAAGGTTGGAATCCTCCCCTTAGTTAGGGGTGACTAGGCTATAGTCAAGCACGCTGGCCAAATGCGGGTTGACTTCACACATATCTTTGAATTTCTTCTTAGATATGTGCAGCATCACGATGTTTTGCTTCACCGTAACGTCGGATAAATGTACATATGTAAATCGAAAAACACATTGGTACACAGCGAGATTCGAACCCAGGACCTAGAGATTGCAAACAATTACTTAACTTGGATTGGTATATTTTCATATTTTTAGTAACAAGAGAACCAACAAAATTTAAAAGTAAAATTTCTTTTCTTCCAGTTTCCGTCAGTGGCTTTGCTCTTGTCGTTGGCAATTTTATTATTCCTATAATTATGGGAAAATATGGCAGAAGAATTGCTAGTATGGCGAGCCTCGTCCCCATGATATTAGGCTGGATAGGTATCATCGTAGCAACTAATATACCTATGCTTATTATATCTAGGTTACTTCAAGGTCTATCAATGGGAATGGGAACAACATTAGGACCGGTACTGATTGGAGAATATACAAGTCCAAAGAATAGAGGCGCTTTCCTAACAGTCATATCTGTGATGATCTCCGTCGGAGTACTCATTGTGCATACCTTGGGTTCCTACTTACACTGGCAGACGACAGCGGTCTACTGCGCATTTATAGCGATAGCCGATTTAATAATCGTTCTACTGTCACCCGAATCACCGAGCTGGTTAGCAGATAGAGGAAAATACGATGAGAGTAAGAAAGTATTCAGATGGCTACGAGGTGATGGTGAAGAAAATGAATTAGAAAGAATGATAACATCTAGATTAGACGAAGAAACAAAGATTGGTGTGAAAGAGACAAAATCAGTATTGACAACATTGAAACATAGAAAGGAGTATTTAAGAACTTTATTTAAAAGGAAAGAGTTTTACAAGCCGATTGTAATAATGATACATATTTACATATTATCTCAATGGGCTGGAGTAAACATTTTAATAACATATACAGTGGATTTACTAGACAGGGTTGTTGGTAAAGATGTTAATATAGCATTAATAATAATAACTCTAGATTCACAAAGAATAATATCCAATATAATAGGTGTTTATTTTATAAAGAAGAAGAGACGAAGATTCATGTTAATGGTGACTGGATTGTTAGCTGTAACCGCGATGCTGGTTACAGCTTTGTATTCATATTTGAAACAGAAAGACCTGCTTTTATATGATCATCCTTTCATAGGGATATTGTTATTACACTTTCATATGTTAACTGTAGGTTTAGGTAGTTTACCTATATGTTATATAATAGCGGGTGAATTATTTCCCTTGGAATTTAGAAGTATAGCTGGTGGGATTAGTGTTTTATTTCATTCAACAAGTTTCTTTATAATTGTAAAAACTGTACCATTTTTATTCAAATGTATTGGTTTACATGGAGCTTATTGTTTGTATTCATTCGTAGTTGGTTACTGTTTGTTAATATCATGGTGGTTTTTACCTGAAACCAAAGATAAGACTCTTCAAGAGATCGAAGATGAATTTCGAGGTGCGTCTGATATAGAAAAGACCGTAGAGTTAATGCCAATGAATACAACGTAAAGATATAGAATTATTAAATTAAAGAGAATTGCCAAAGTAGAGGAAGACCTAAGAAAATGTAGATAGGTTGTGTAAAAGATATGCGAAAGAAGAGACTGGAAAAACATGTTCATAGAAATGTATGGAATAGAACTGTGCTGAACTTCTTTAGGAAATAAGACTGGCTGATTATAATAAAATAGCGGGATATTATGAAATATTTGTATTAAGAATTGTAAAAAAATATTCCTGTTTATGAAACTTTTTGGTTGTAGATTTTCGATGATTTGATGTTTTTTTTCTATTGTTATTTAAAGCGGACATACTACTATATTTTGTAAAAGAAAATGAGTAAACGAAATTGTAGAAAGCGTAGGTTTTCACAATTGGATCGTGTTTTTCATAGATAATAGAAGAGAGGTAAGAATATTTTTGTAAAACATAACGCTGTATAAACTTACTAGCTTTTTACTGCGACTCCATATGTACGGAAATAAAAAAATAGTAAGTCGCCAATGTTTTATTTCTATATTCTACATCTGTAGCTAACTTCATCGTGATCTGTTGAACTGTTTTGGAGATACATTCTAACAAACATCCATCCATTCAAACTTATAATATAAGTAAGAAGTAAAATGATTACGCACACGTAATTTAATACGTAATTTTTACAACTTCGTTGTGTATTTGATTTGACGGAATGTACTTAGTAATAATGTAAATATAATTTGAGATATCTTTAGCAATGTGAGTTTGTTTTTTATTAATACTTTTTGAATTATAAAATGTTTATTAAATATAAAGTTAGATGAAACAATATTCTAGTATCAAAATTCTTTTAGAGATGAGTAAAAATAATCAGTTTTTTAAATAAAAAAGATCAAATAATTTTATAAACATAGGGGATATTTGGAATTAGAATAAAACGCTTTCAGTACTTAGGTATATAAATGTATTTTTTATTTTTCACAAATAAAAAATTTCTCATCAAAAAATAAAAGGATTTTGATAAGTAATATACATATGAATGTTACAGTCTTTTAAATGTTAACGAGTTAGTACCAACCATTAAAAACACGTACGTTTAAAATTTACAATTGTTAAGTTGGTAAACTAATCGATCATACGCACGGGCGCTTTTTTAACGCCGTTTCAAAACTCCGCGTTGGCAACTTTCGAGCGTTAATCGCTTCAAAATCACACTTGTTCCGTTCGCTCAACGCTGAAATGGACACTGCGCGATTAAAAAGCTTCGCAATCGAAAAACGCTAATAAACAGAAATATGGAATTGGTTTTCTAATATTTGAGCGCTTTTAACGCGCGATAAAAAGCGCCCGTGTGGATAAGAGCTTAAAATGACATTAATAAGTACGTATATTGAAGTATTTTCTTGTAATAACTTTAAAAATATTATAAAATATTGCAAAATGGCCATCTTTTAGTAGCAAAATTGTACAAAATAGGAACTATTTATTTATCTTCTTTCATTAAGTAAATGCAACCTTTATCGTAATATCATCCAGATTTAGCTGTGTCAGTTTCATCTTGTTTCAAACTCACTGTAGCCTCAACGTCCTGTATTCGAGTCGTGTCACCTCTCAGTTCATTCTCTATCTGTTGCAATGTCTTCCCGCTCGTCTCCGGCAATATGAACCAAAGCATTATAAATAAATAAATTAATAAAGCTGCATATATCGTATAAGTACCTGATAAATTTATACTATCTATTAACAAGGGAAATGTTTGTAAAACTATAAACATAACACTACTAAGAAAAACAACACCTATACTTGATATAATACTTCGAAATTCTAAAGGTATTAACTCACCAGATATTACTGTGGGCATCGGTACCATCCCTAAACCTATACAGAAAAACTGTAATACTATTAACAATCCTGGAATCCATTCTGCATCGTAAGATAATAAATTATTCGATTTAGCAAACATGTAACCTGCAATTGCTACATGAGCGAAAGTACACAAGCCACCAGTAGAAAACAAAATAGTCCGTCTTTTAAACTTATTAATAATAAATACAGCAATTATGTTTACCACTAATCTTAAAGTATCTAACGCTACCATCCAGGCGTGTGCGTTCGCAGTAGGACCCATCATGAGTCTTATAACTTGAACGGAAAAGGCCGGCAAAGTTGAGTTACCACATACTTGTATCATAACAAAGCAGTGCGATATAACTATTAAAGGCATATAAAACTCTCTTCTCGTTATAACTGCACCCAATTTCTTAACACAATTAACCTGCGGTCCATTCTCCTCTCTTTCTCTCTTTTTCCTTAACTTTATTTGCGACTCTATTAATTCTTCTAATTCATTTTCTTCTTCATCTCCTCTCAACCAACGGAACGATTTCCTACACTCTTCATATTTCCCTTTAGCTGCCAACCAACTCGGAGATTCGGGTAAATAAAATGCCATAATAAGACTTAAAAAAGCGATGACACCACAAACGATGCTCATCCTTTGCCAACTTAATACGGAACCAATGAAATGTACCAGAAATATTCCAAATCCTTGCGCCAAAGAGACAGTGGTGAGAAAACCGCCGCGATATTTGGGACTCGCGTATTCACCAATGAGGACTGAACGTAACGGCAAGATGGCGCCCGCTGACAGACCTTGCAGAACTCTGGCGAATAATACCATCTGGAAAATAAACATTTGAATGGTATACATTTTGTTTTCTAACGCGCCTAAAATCTTTACCTTTCGAATAAAAAATAATAAATTTAAAATTCTAAGAAAAAAACGATGACATGATTAAGAAGGCAATGATGAAGTGAGGAAAAAGGGTGAGGAAGAATTAGGAAGGAAAAATGGGATAACGAAAGAGATAATGTATTTCTAAGAAGGAATTGTTTTCGTTAAGACAAAAATATATTAAACGAAATCGCTGAAATTGTGAAGTGACCGCTGCCCATAGACATACGCAATTGCATATGCGTTGCCTACCTTTAATCGACGGAGGAGAAGATGCACACAAAGAAAATATTTTCTCTTTCCATGTATCCTCTCATCCGGAAAGTCCACTTCCACTTCCCATCCTTTCCTTATAAGAAAAAGGGTGGGAAGGGAAAGAGGACTAAATTAGGCCTCCGAAACGCACACTCATCAGACTGTACGCGGAATTGCTTCCACTTGAGGCCTGTCTTCTGTGTGATCGTGGTATTTCACCGGACGAGCCGGGACAATTCATGCGACGATGTTAAAACGGGCTCTAAAACTATTGAAAGGTATCCACTTACTTGGACGTCAGTGGCCAAGACTAGGACGAACCAGCTGATGACAGCCGGCAGACTGGCACACATATGTGCCACTCTTCTGCCGAAACGCTCCATGATGCTGGGTGTCACGAAGTTCCCAAACAAGGTTGTGATACTTATAATTGACGCTGAAATCAATTAATACGAAATGTTATCAGACTCACATCGTTAATCCTTGTAGGAAAATTGGTAAAATTAAACATCGTTAAAGAGGGTTACAGCAATGTAGTTTACCTTGTTACAACAACTTGTTTAATAATGTAGTCTGTTAAACGAACTGTTTTAAATTCCAAATGCAATTACTACTGTTTAAATATTAGAAAGTTCTAATACAAAAAATAGCATATAAAGCGCGCATGCATCAGTTTTCGAATTCCCGTCAAAATCAGACGAGCAGCCGAGATTACACGGAACAAACGCGGAATTGTCGGACAGATAGACAGACACCAATTTTTTAAATAAATACACCATATATTATGTTCGCAGTATATTCAAAACAATCAATATTACATACAGACGCTTCAATTTTATTATTAGTATTTAGTAATTTCACTTGTTCATGAAAAACTGCGAATCTAAGCGGCCTTATCAAATGGCAAATCTTATCATCACATTTACTATGATAATCTTATTTGTATGTAATGCATGTAATAACGCGTCTCACAAAACAACACTCAAATGGAAATAGAATCATGATTACAAATCATGTAAAAAAACATAAATCAAACTTTGACGTAAATCTTAAGGTCCATTGGCACGCGCCAGGTTCGGTTAACATCACGGATTTAAGTTTGCTTTGACATAACGCTGCCGTCCATTATCCACGCCGCCCACATCGTAAGACGGCATTTATCAACAAGCATTTCCAAACAGTTACGACTTAGGGGCCTTCAAGAAAAGAGCGTACACCTTCCTTAAAGGCCGGCAACGCATCTGCGGTTCCTCTGGCGTTGCGGATGTCCATGGGCGTCGGATCAAATAATATTAGGCGATTCGTTGCTCGTTTGCCCCCTTCTCTTATAAAAAAAAAGCAATCCGTTGCGGGCCGTGTGTGCAGTGCGTCCGGCGCGGACCAATGGACTCGTATCTTTACTATCAGACCCAGAGTCTTTATTCATTATCCTAAGTGTTGCTAAAGTTTTATTGTAAATTTGTTATAATTTTTTAGGAATAATCCTGAAGTTAAACTATCGTAACATGCATAAGAAGATCATTACTATCTCTGTTTTTTTTTCATGAGAGAGTGATGGAGATGAGATGAATGGAGAATCATCGTTAACTTCAAAATATTTAAAAAGCTAGCAGTCGCCCGCGACATTGAAAAAAACACAAATAACCTCTGTGTGCTTAGAAACTATGCCCAACAACATCGAGATCTGATCAACCGTTCTGTAGATATATTCTTACAAACATCCATCCATCTAAACATTCTTATTTATTAATATTATAAGAAGAAAGTTTACCGATCCATGATGCTGAGACTTTGGTGAGTGGTATATCTGAATGTGGTTGCTGTAATGCGGGCAACAGGACGCCGGGCAATCCAAACACGAAGCCGATGTTACAGATTATGTTACAACCAACCGCACCCGTCACAATGCACTGGAAACATTAAGTACACAAGTTAAATTACAGTTTAAATTAACTTTAAAACCCCACTGGAATCCATATTAAGCCGTTTCTAAGGTTAGCGTACATGAACCCGCGGAAGCGCGGGAAACTACATAATAGATGGAGCTTTTCATACAAATGCGTCTAACTGATAGATAACCCTCAAATTTAATTTTGTATTGTAAATGACAAAATAAGGGAAATTACCATAGCAAAAAGTATCCAGGGAACTTTGGTAAATCTAGGAATCATAACAAAAAAAAACTGTTTAACCTTCACGACAAGGCCATCTATAAGTGAAGTTGAACATATGATCTTCGTATGTTTAAAATACAAGTTTCCAATAACAAAATAACACAAAAAGTTAATTTGGTTTCTTTGTGTTAATTATTAGACAAGTCATAAAGTTTAAATTAACCTTTCTCAGTTATTAACAATAAATTATAAGATTTTATTTGATGAATACGGATGTTATTATTTTAATAACCAATTAATTTTTCGATTGCGATAAATACTAACAGAATAGAGTCCATTTTTAAACGATTTTATTCTTAAGTCACCCTTAATATAGGACAATCTCTAGACCCTCGGAGGAGACAAGAGCTGATAATACTATAACTGGCAAGGTTCATAATCGAACGATAAATTATTAAACAGATAATAATAATGTCATTGCTATTCGTAGCACAAATAAAAAGGTAGGTCGAGGACGAAGTCGCGGGTTACAGCCAATATTTTTGTAAAAGTACTAGCTGTCGCCCGCGACACCGTCCGCGTTAAAAAACTTAATTAGTAGCCTATGTTTTCTTCCAGACTATGTTCAATATGTTTCATCGAGATCCGTTCAACCGTTTCGGAGATATCTTCAAACAATCATCCATCCATCTAAACATTCACATTTATAATATTAGTAAGATTGAAGCCAATAGTTTCGAGAACACGGTAGCAATAACATGGGGTATTTGTATGTGTATATCAAGGTAAGATGACGTCACTGGTCAAATAGTAATCGGTCGGTGACCGGCATGTAGGCCGTCGGTAAAACTGTATATTGCCACAATTCGCACAATGTTTGTTACTATAAGCACTTACTTTTTATAGACTTAGATAAAGTAAGCATGAGTTTCTGAGATCCCCGTTTAAAATATATCGTTGTCTCTATTTTGTCAAAGATAATGACAGGGATGACGATATGTTTTATACAGAGATTTGGGTCCCTGAAACCCACGTTTAGAGCGTTTGAATTCAGAAGTGTGCTTTTCAATTATTTTTCTTCATACCCATTCGATTTTTTAAATCTATATTAAGGGTGTCCTTAAGGGATCAACTAAGTTTGAGTAAGGCAGTTATTTATTTTAAATATTTTATATAACGAGTCACCTCACGTATCTTACTATACTATAACACTAATATGTTATAAATAAATTGTTAAACCATCTTACTCTTTGACACAATAAAGATAACAAATTGTTTTTATTTATACGTTTCGTCAGTGAAAACTGACTTTTAATTGTGAATGTAAAAATTAATTCCTTTTAAAAAATGTCTTGCGTTGAGTTATCAACAACTATAAAAAATTTATAAAAAAAAGAATGAATTACGATATCAATGACAAAATGTTATCAAAAAGAAAACGTGAGTGTAAATTGTTATGTGAACAACATTTATTATAGTCAAATTAAGTTCCCTTTTCGTGCTATTTTCGTAGGAAATCATGTAATTGCCATCATAAATAAACAATACATAACAATCAACATATAAGTAAGTGATTATTTCGTGAAAACTTTCAGATTTATGAAATATTTAAAAATAAACTCACTTGTTTAACGAAAGGCGTTAATTTTGTTTTACCCATTTCACATAACACATATTTATTCCATCACTTTTTAACAATTATGCTTATAATTGAACGTAAATTTACTTTTATACGATAACGAAAATTCAAAACAAATTCGACATGCGTGAACGTACAACTAATCGAGCGACCCACAAAGTGGTACTGACATTAACACATAGATTGCGTACCAAAATAGTGTTGTTCCTACTCCCTAAAATACTCATTTGTATAGACCGCACTGGATAGGTCGTTTCTTGAAAAAAAAACAGCTTTGTTTCGTTCCGATTTAAACGCGCCTGTTAATGTGACTGTCAGTTAAATCTATCTCTATTATTAGTTCGAGTCTTCAACACAACTTCCATCCGCGACCGTCAGCGCCACAATGGCGAAAATCAAATAGTCACAAAATGTCACGTCGTATAGCCTGTCCAGTTGTGATTGAGACAGTGCATCCATAACAATATATCGATTTATTGGGTTTTAAATATTTTTTTGTAATTAGTAGTATAATTAAAAAATATTAAAAATTATACTTACTCTTCGAGCCCGTCTCTTGTGTATCACAAAAATGAATTGACACACTGCTTTCATGCTTTGTTGTTTGACGTTTATGTCGCGAAAAAACTTTGGAGATTAATTCAACAACATATCAAAGGATATATGTATGTAAGTAGGGTGAGAACTCAAATATGACGGATAATAATGCGTGAAAGTATACACAATGACTCTTCGTAAAGAAAATGATAGGGCTGACGGTTGGAATCGATATGTTAGCATCGATTAAATTCGTAAAATACCTCTTAAATAATATTCTGTATTCGATAATAGAATAATAAAAATCGACAAACACAGATATCTGATAGTACATCCCTACGCGTACTAAAATAAAAAAAACAATGAACCATTGTCAAGGTTTACCTTCGTTTTAAAATAGATGGCGCTTGCGTTAAATAATTTTCCATAGGTACAAATAAGAAGATATTTATTTAAGTGATTTGTCTGTATCTTACTAATATTATAAATGCGAATGTTTAGATGAATGTTTGTTAGAAGGTATCTCCAGAAGAGCTGAACAGATCGCGATGTAATTTGGCATGTAGAACATAGTCTGGAACACATAGGCTACTTATTATTTTTAAAGTCCACACTGACGAAGTCGCGAAGCTAATGTTATATAAGATAAATATAATTATATGGTTAAAAAACTGTCTAGTTAGTATGATACGACAATTTAGTTATATAAACATGTAAGGATTAAATACATAATGTTTTATACCAATCCATAAGATTTGTGTATTTAACCAGTTGATTCCTAAATAAATAATCTATTTAAATTCTTTTATTTAAATTATATTTCATATCTCGCATTATCTTACTTCTTATGGATGGATCTTTGTTTGAAGGTATCTCCAGAACATAGTTTGAAAGAACAGATAGGCTACTTATTAAGTTTTTTTCTAATTACGCGCGGACCGAGTAGCTGACTACTAGTTATTATAAGTGATAACTACGTACTATTTTGTTTAAATGCTTTAAAAAATTACTACTTAATTTCTAAAATGCTCATCATCAGCTCACTATATGTACGTCCCCATCGAGGGGCTCGGAGCCTTCCCTAAGTTAAGGGTGATTAGGCCATAGTCAACCACGCTGGCCCAGTGCAGGTTGCATCATGATGTTTTTCTTCACCGTAAGAACGTCGGATAAATATACATATGTAAATCGGAAATCTAAAAACACATTGGTACATGGTGGGATTCGAACCCAGGGCCTGCAGATTCCAAGTCAAGTGCTTGACCCCTAAGCAACCGACGCTCTAAAGTGCTCATAATTATGAAATCAACCAAGAAACGTCGGTGGCACAGATCATTTCTATTGCATCGAAATTCAATCTACACTTTTAGGTTCGAACCTCACCATATACCAATGTGTTTTTCGATTTTTGTATTACATTTCAGATTTTGAGATTTGAAAAATTCACCGTACGGAGGCTACACTATCCCTTTGTAACATAGGTCATAATTTTTTCTACACAAACAAATATTAAATTTATATGTATGGGAAGCCCTTTGCTCCTTAAGTACAGGTCTTCCTAGTTAAGGAGCCAAGGCAACATTGAATTTGGAATTTCTTGTGTATAACAATAAAGATTTCTTCATTTTCAATTATTAGTACATTTTTAATTACGCGCGGACATAGTCGCGGGCTACTGATAGTATTGTATATTTCAATAAACATGTAAGAAGTCGTAAATTATATCTCGAAGTGAATAACTGATAGGGAATTAAAAAGATCATAAAAATGACGTTATATGTTTTTAAATAAACAAAGAAAACATTTTTATTATTTACATTTCAGTGACTTTATGATTTACTTTATGATTTTACTCGCTATAGCCGGCGACTCCGTCCGCGCGGAATTAAAATAATAATCAATAGCCTATGTGTTCTTCCAGACAATATTCTATATGTATGCCAAATTTCATCGAGATCCGTTCAGCGGTTCTGGAGATATCTTTTTTTTTTATAAGAGAAGGGGGCAAACGAGCGGCGTTAACACCGAGGTGATCAACGACACCCATGGACATCTGCAACACCAAAGGAACTGTAGATGCGTTGCCGGCCTTTAAGGAAATGGTATGCTCGCTTCTTGAAGGTGCCTAAGTCGTATTGGTTTGGAAATACCGCCGAGGACAGACCGTTCCACAACGCGACTGTGCGAGGCAAGAAATTGCGCGAGAATCGCACCGTTGTGGATATCTTTAAACATTCATCTAAACATTCGCATTTATAATATTAGTAAGATCAATCGCCAGTGGTGTCTCTTGAAAAATAAAACACAATTTCGTATCAATATTTTTATGTCTTATTAATATAATAAACCTAATATTTCATTCATTATTTTATATGATTATTTTCATTGTTAATCACAGATTGCTATATTATCCTTGTCCTTATCTAAATTTATTATAATATTGATAAAATTAATTATTACAAGGACTTATTATTATATTTATTACTTATTTAAAACGTTCTTTTAGAACTTTGTATATTTTCGAGAAGAAATATTGTTATACATTCTTGTTCCTTTTGGAAATTCTTTTGACTAGTCTTCGTTTAATAAAAAGCCCGATTTATTTGTTGGAACTTGACTACGATGTTCATGAAAAATTTAGTTAAAAAAATGTGACATTGTGATTGCTTTCGGAATGTGTACGTCATATTTTCTTTGAAAAAAATATATACGTTTTAATAAATTGTCACGATGTATCGGATTTCAAGAATTATTTTCTTTGTGCATTTCTTTGTGTTATCAATCGGGCTTATTGTTTAATTTATGACAATTAAATTGTATTATTCCTCTTAACACTATAATATAGTTAAACAAATATCTGTCCTGATGCAAGGCGCCGCTATTGCGTTTAGTTCTGTCAGAAAAGACTATAAACCTGAATGGGCATAGAAAAAATATGACACATTTTTGTCTTTGACAGGAGGGCGCTAGTGAGCTGTCATAATTTAGTTTGACATGCCCACCGAGTCTGATATCTTTGTGAATCTATAATTTACATTTTTGATTCTACATCACTGTCATTCTTTTTGAGTTTATCAGTGTGTGAGAACTTCAACAATTTCTCACTGGCCATGTTCATTTTAGCCTCTTCCTTTTTATTTTCATCTTTATATCTACCATAGATAAAGTACTCCTCAATTTCTTGCAATGTTCTATCTTTTGTCTCTGGTAATATAAAATAGAAGATAACTAAAGTAACACCCATTACGGAACCAAAGAGGGCAAACATTCCATAAACTTTTATACTTTCTAATAGATGCGGCGTAACTTGCAATCCAATGAGGACTGCAAGAGATAATACAAGTCCTGAAATAGCAACACCTGCATCTCTGTGTTCAAGAGGCCAAACTTCTCCGCACAGAGATAGAGGTATGGCTGTACAGCCTAAATTAACAGACACAAAATATATAACAAACAATGCTATAGGAATTATAGAATTACCTCTAGATATAACATCCTTTGATTCAAGATAAAGATATGTACAAACACTAAATAATACGAATAAAGCTGTAAAACCTGATGTAAATAATAACGTACGACGTTTATACATCTTAACGAGGACAGATGAAAAAGTAGCACTTCCTGTTATAATTATATCAATAGCCAAAGTATAATAAAAAGATTGAGTTTTATCTCCTGTCACTTCTGATATAATCTGTGACGCGTACGCGGGAAAAATATGACGACCACAAGCTTCAATCAAAATTCCACTTGCAATTATTATATTTAACGGCTTTATAAAATCTCTCTTTGTAAACTTTAACAATAGTTTCGTTAATTGATCTTTAATTGTCATCTTTTTAGTAGTCACAGGCTTCTCTCTTTGGGCTTGTATTAATTCGTATAATTCTTTTCTTGACTCTTCGCTATTCCCCCTCAACCAGTAAAATGCCTTTTCACTGCTTTCATATTTCTTTTTTGATGCCAACCATGCTGGACTTTCTGGCCATGTAAAAATTATAGCTAAAGATATAGAATACGGGATCATGGCCATCAGTGCTACAGTTCTCCAATGATAAAACGTCCCCAAAATGTGAATAACCATACCTCCTAAGCAGACGCTAGCTGTTTTTAAATTCAAGAAAGTTCCCCTATTATTAGGTGAAGTGTATTCTCCTATCACTACTGCTCCTAACGAAACAGTAGCACCTGCAGTAAATCCACCAAGTACTCTCCCGAGTGCTAATGTTGTAACATTGTTAGCAAAGTACATAACCAACCATCCAATAAGACCAGGTATTAACACAATAGCATGTGCTTGTTTCCGTCCTCTCCAATTCATCAGAAATGCTGATATAAAGAAACCTGGGATGCCAGCTATTCCAACGCAAGAAGCTGAAAAAAAATGCTACTACTTTATCTATTTTATTTAATGAACAAAAGCATTAGTTTCAATGTTTATGAATCATGAACCCTTTAATTAATATTATTTCGATGTAAAATCGTTTCCTTCTCCATGATAGCAATCGGTTGCCAATGTATAACAAGAATAGAGCCAGGGCAGGATTTAGAATTTGCAGCACCTCCGGTTTTTTGGTGTTGGGAGAAATCTTCCAAAGATACGGTCCCTCAGGGGCCACTGTAGGCGCCAGAGTAAGATATAAAGGGTCGCTTGTATGCCTGGCACCCTGGGCGGATGGCCAACCTTCCCCTACTACTACCGCTACTGAATAGAGCGACTGACTACAAGAGAGTCAATTTCCTAGTCCCAATGCATTATTTTCATTATTTCAAAGTACTTTTAATTATTGAACAAAACGAACACTTTTCTAAGATTATACTTACACAACCATGAGGCAGTGTTAAGATCTATTTTAATATCGGAGTCTGGAGCTCGCAGTGCAGGCAGCAAACTGCTGGTGTAACTCAACAGCATCCCCTGAGCTAGCATATTCAACAGAACTGCTGAAACTGCCCATGTCTGAAACAGATGACAAGGAAATAAATCTTTGTCTCGTTGAATGAGGTTGCGTCTTTCTCGTGGAGTATAAAAATCTGGACAAATAACTATATAACAGTCTTTAGTCTCCGTTATATAGATGTTGTAAAGAATAACAGAACAACTGAAGCTTACTTAGCGAAAATAGCTTAAGGTTTTGTTCAATTTACAAAGTTTTAATTACTCATGTTAACCCATTAGTGCATAACGTTCGATAAATCGGACGCCAATAAAATTGTTATTTTAGGAGTTATATATATTTTACTAACCGTTTATTTTTTTTAAACAGTAGTGTAATATATATTTGAAGTGGTAATACTGTTGGTATGACATTCCGGGAAGCATAACGTCCGATTTATCGGACGGGCTATAAAATCTAAACTTTCATATTGATTAAATATTTTATACAATTTAATGGACAAATAAACTCGAAATAAAAATATATTACAGTGATCATAATGAAAAAGGCGTTAATAAACTTTATACACTAATGAGTTAATTGTTGATATATTTTTAGAATAAATTTAATTTATTTAGTTTTTAATAAATGTTTTATTGGTAAATTAATTAAAAAAAAACCAAATATTTCTATAACTAACGAGGTTTAAGCGTTCTATTGTGTGTAAAATTATGTCTTCCTGAAATTTTCCACTCTCAATTTCGGTCAGAGATTTCGGAAAACTTTGGCTTCATTTTTTCTATAAATAAAAACGCCTTTGAACTTAATCTAATGAGAGTATGATTCTATTTTTGCACATCCCGGAAACAACTTTACAATCATCAAAACTAAATAAACAAGTATATAGGTTTTTATTCAAATTTCTCTTATAAAAAATATATTATATTATATTTACCTGTTTGAATACTGGCAACATTATTCACAATAATAAGCTCACTCCTCGAACGTTAGATGAAAACTACTAGAATTCAGTCGGAACAATTTGATGATAGCAAAATATCGGATTAGTTGTTTTATTAGCACATCTTGTTGAGGCTTACCTTATCTTTTGTGTATCGACACATATTATAATCTATTGTATTAATTGGGAACGTATGACATTGCGTTGTTTTATCAAGTGAAGGAAAGAAAGGTATTGGAAGGGAGGAGTATCAATGTATTGTGTGAAGGAGATGCGTAAAAAGGAACTGAATTCAAATATAACGGCTACTAGAAATGTATGGAATTATACTGTGCCGACTTTCCACCAAGAAATGTTTGGTTTATCTCCAGTAAATTAGCTTTGTTGTTTTGTCTGTACCGTTTTACTGTCTATTATAGGCAGTAAATAATTCAGACGTGTCTTCTAACATCTCTGATTATCCTACTCAATCAACGTTTCCTTAAAAAGTCTAATAAGGCTATACAAGGTAATGTATTGTCGAAATTAATATTGCATGGTCGAGTCGCGAGATTCGCGTTGCGCGCGCTCTGTACATTCAACGTTGAATCGTCGACGCTAGTCTATTCGATCTGTACTGGCAAAGCGACATGTTAATTGTATAGGTTTGCTTTGACAAATAGGTTGCGAGCTTAACGATAACAGATAGAAATGTCGGCGACACTCCCTGTATACGAACCATTATGACATTGTATGAGTTAAGTCGACTAAAATCACCGAGTTTCGAAGATATAAGTTGCCTTGTGTACGAAGGGCTTTAGACAATTTAATCCTCTAAAGATATATATTGTGTTTCGATGCATCTCTGCCTGTACCTGAAAATGTAAATATTGCTTAAACATATCTGAGAGAATTTTTGTCTCGTAAAAATTCGTAAAGCCCATAAATGTTATCAAGATGATATAATATGACAGAGATTTCGCTGTGCGTAGGATTTGTGATAAAACAATGTAAACTAAGCTTATTACAACTCAAATATTAATTTAAATTAAATCCTAGTCAGTGGCTGTACAAATGTACAATGATTTTATATTTTTTAGTTAAATTTAAATATCATATTTAATTTCGTTGAGAGCGTTGGTAGTGCAAGAGTTACCTTAACCTGTGATCTGCACGTCCAGGGGCCTGGAAAATGTAACATTTGGTTATCGCTTTCGTCCATTGAATCGACAAAATGTGTCAAAATATATAAAGAAATTTGTTGTTACTTCCATACATAATTGACTTGTCGATCACCAACATTGATTATCGAATGTTACTTTGTTTAGGGGCGCAGGTTCGATTCTCTCCATGTGCCAATGTGTTTTTCCATTTTATAATTTCATATTGCAAATTGTTACATCCTAAGTTCTTACGAAGGAAAACATTGTGATGCATACATTTGTGAAGATAATCAAATCCTAGTTTAAATGTGTTTTTAAATTACGACCAATAAAGTTGCGTTTTAATTATAATTGCAATTTTGATTGCTATTTTTATTAATTATGTAACTTTATTAGTATATTTACGTAGAAAGCACGTGTCAGTAGTTGGCTACCTTATGTATCACGAGTTTATTATTTACTTAAAGTTATTCTGGCACATAGCCAAAGAGATTTATCTTAAATTTTACGGTCGGTCGCCTGTCTGTCACACACTTTAATTGGAAGTGAAATAATCCAAAAAATAATTATATATAAACACGGCTAAACACTCACGTATATACGTCCGGTGGCGGCACCGACTAGTTTCGAGCCCATCGGGGACCCTTCATCAGGATGAGTGGTGAGCGACGGGCCGCGTCCGCGAAATAATACCAGTACCACTCATCCTGATGAAGGGCCCCCGATGGGCTCGAAACTAGTCGATGCCGCCACCGAACGAATATACGTGAGTGTTTAGCCGTGTTTATATATCAGTTTAGTATAATGTCTCACGAAAGTTTGAATAATTTAATAATTATATATTTGTAAAGTATATAATTTTAACATTTTACTTAAAATTAATTCTAAAACAATATAAATTTAACGTTAAAATAATAATAAAAATACGAATATATTAATAAATTATTTAATAATTTATAAGATTATTATTTTCAAATCAAATTCGATTATTTAACATACAGCTTACGTTCCATACCCTTACAATATTAACTGCATACTATTATTACATGATAGTAAAATACTCGGTTAAATTAAATTGAAATTATAAAATAAATCGTGAATATGTTAAATATATAACAAGATACCCTGAAATAAATATTATAAGAGAATTCCCACTGACATTTTTGATAAATTAAGTTAATAAATTAGTTTTTTCATCGATAATTTTTTAATGGCTTAAGTACCGCCCTAATTTTCAACCAGAATTTTATACTAAATACAAAATATTATAACATAATATAACAATGACTGAATGAATGAATTCTTACGGTGAAGTAAAACATCGTGATGCTGCACATATCTGAGAAGAAATTCAAAGATATGTGTGAAGTCAACCAACCCGCATTGGACCAGCGTGGTTTACTATGGCGTAATCACCCTTAACTTAGGGTAGGCTTCGAGTCCCTCAGTTGGGACGTATAGTGAGCTGATGATGATGGCAATGAGTATTTTAAAGTCTAGATTAAATAAATGTTTTGTGTCATTTTGTTATTTTATCATCCAAACATTGTAGGGAAGTCACCTTTATCTTTTTGTATTTTTTTTCCAAGATTATATTCAGAATTTTGTGTTTGTTATAATTATTATTTCTTAATATGTCGATATCATCTTTAAAATTATTTACAATTAATTACTAGTTTCTTATATTTAAACAACTGGACTACTGCATCTTCTGTCTTTGTTCATATATTTCAAAGAAGTCAGCGATTGAGTAGACTTCAATTCTTCTGGAGACATTGGTCTACCTCTAAACTCATCTTCTATTTCTTGTAACGTTCGATCTTTCGTCTCCGGCATGAACCACCAGGCTATCACCAAGCAATACCCAACCACGACGGAGTAAATTAAATACGCGCCATGTATGCCAAAGTTCTTGAATAGATAAGGAACAGTTTTTACTGTGATAAAGAGATTTGAAGAAAGGAATAATACACTGAATCCACCAGCAAGACTTCTGAATTCTAAAGGAAATAGTTCTCCCGCTATGATAAAGGGTAAAGGCACTGTTCCTGTTGCGATGGTAAACATATGAATGTGTATTAATAAAATCCCAATGAAAGGATGATCGTAGGGCAACATATTATGACCTTTAGCATAAGTATACCCAGCTGTAGCTACAAACGCGAACAGATTTAATCCAACAGTTATGAATAACATTGTTCTTCGTCTTATCTTCTTAATTACGTATACAGCAACGCTATTTGATATAATTCTTTGAGCGTCCAGAGTTATAACTAGTAAGGATATGTTTGCATCATTACCGATAACATGAGAGAATATATCGAGAGTGTACGCAGCAAGAATGTTAGCACCAGCCCATTGTCCTAACGTATAGATGTGGATCATAATCAATATAGGTTTATAGAATTCCTTCTTCCTAACAGTTGTACTGATATACGTAATTTGTGTTTTCATTTTCGATGTAAAAGATTGTGATATGTTAGCGTCAGCTTTTGATTCTCTGACGATGATGCTAGTTTCAATCATCCTACGTAATTCTTCGTCTTCACTTTCTCCTCTCAACCATTTGAACACTTTCTCACTGTCCTCATATCTTCCTTGATCTGCGAGCCAACTGGGGGACTCGGGTGAGTAAATAACTATGAGTAAATCCACAAAGGTTATAAAGGCACAGACCAGAGCTGCTGTTTGCCATGCCAGGTAGGATCCTAAGGTATGTACGACGAGGACTCCTGTAGCAATAGTCAATGATATTGTGGTTAAAAATGCGCCTCTGTTCCTAGGACTAGTGTATTCTCCTATGAGTACTGGTCCGAGGGTTGCGCTCATACCCATCGCGATGCCCTGGAGGAACCTTGCAATGAGGAGAGCGGTGATATTAGTGGCAGTGATGATGCAGAACCAGCCAACAATCATAGGTACAATGCTCAACAGGTTTGCCGTTCTCCTGCCGTACTTTGCCATTATTGTGGGCACTATGAAGTTACCAGCCACAAGTGCGAAACCCAGAATTGAAGCTGGAAATCAAGAAAATTAATGGTTAATAGTTAAATTAAATAAACAAGTATGCAAAGATTAGGTGTAAGTAACACGTTACATTGTATAAGGACAATAGTTAAGGAAGATGTTATATAATTTGATTTTGTTAACAGAAATTGTCATCGCAGTTTAGAAACCAAATTTTTTAATATTTATACATTTTAAAAATAGATGATTTTAAAATTTTAAGTTTGTCTTGTAATTAAAATAAAAAAATAAATACAAATAAAAAATTGCTTAGAAACGGAAGACCATTCTTTATGGGCGTCAATTAATTTATCATTGTTACATACCTATCCATGAGCCAGCTGTGTCATCGATGGGTATGATGGAGTCTGGTCTGCGCAGCTGCGGCAGCAAGATGGCCGCGAAGCCCATCACCAGCCCGTGGCCTGCCATATTTAGTGACACACCAAGCGTCACAAAACACTGCAATATCAAAGAAGACAATATTTAGTAAGATGATTAATAGTCTTTGAAATAAAGTTCATTTTATATTACACTTAGGCACTCTACGTTTTGTTTCAGTTTCGATTCGAAACGGTGTGTTTTAGTGACATCTGTACAAAGACATATTGTTGATCCTCTCATTCTCTTTTAATCAACGGAGACAGTAATAAGTTTTTTTGCACGTGTTTCGACAATGAGAACTTATGCTAATGTAAAAATGACCGCATATCAAACGATCTCTCGTTTTAATTGTGCTTAATACATAGCTGATATTATAGTATTTATACTATAGATTTAAATTCTTGACATTTTCTAGATTTTTCTATTCGAAAAACTCAACAAGATTTTTAGATTTTTTCCTATTCTGTAACTGAGTTTCAGATATTACTAAGTTCGTCTACTAACAAACGTATTTGGATGTAACAAACGTTGTATAACCTTGTAATAAAAACATACAATGACTCCGAAGCGGATGTAATATGTTAAAAACATATACTATTGTGTTACAAGATATAATACACGTGTTAACGTACTAACGACATATGTGCGTGCTGCGAACAACCACTATGTCGATTACTACCCATCATATAACATAAACATAGTTATAATACCACTTGAAGATAATATAAAAAGTATATTTCCGTAGAATATGTTAAATTATGGAATAGTATATGTTATAGTGTGTCGAATATAGATTAGTTTGACAATTCATTTTCGATTGTTTTTCTCATAGGACTTGCAATCGCAAATTTCGTGATTATTGTTTTTGAATTACGATATTTTAAAAAAAAAGTTTTTTCAGTATCCTTCATAACTACATAAAAAAAATAAAACATTGCACCAAAAATTATGGTTTTCATAAGCAAAAAAAAATATATTTAATGCGATAAACAGCCATATAACTGTAATAAATTTAATAAAAAGTTGTAAAATAATTAAATTGTAATAGTACCTATTTGTTGGATTAATTTTATTACAAGACCGACTTTCAATAATTTGCATTTTTTTTTATATCAAAAGGTGGCATACGAACGAGCAGCCACCTGAAATCGTTGAAATAGCGAAGTGACCGTTGGCCATAGACATACGCAATTGCATATGCGTTGCCTACCTTTAATCGACGGAGGAGAGGATGCACAGAAAGAAAATATCTTCCCTTCCCATGCATCCTCTCATCCGGAAAGTTCAATTCCACTTCCCATCCTTTCCTTATAAGAAAAAGGGTGGGAAGGGAAAGAGGTCTAAATTAGAGCTCCGGGACGCACACTCATCAGACTGTACGCGGAATTAGTTCCACTTGACGCCTGTCTTCTGTGTGGTCGTGGTATTTCACCGGGAGAGCCGGGCCGATTCGTGCGAAGATGTTAAAGCGGGCTCTGTCACTGTTAAAAGCATTTATTCGTTGTGCGCGACACTATGACAACTGTCTATTAAGTACAATATAAATGCTCATACAAAATTAATTCGATATTTTATAAGCGTCAGTTGTCAAACTAATCTATATTAAATAGACATACATAAGTGCAGAATTATTTATATCAACTTTTTGGTGAACATAGATTATGCATTCCGCCAAACATGTGGCATACTGGCCAGACCTTTACCTTTTAGATTAAGAAAAAGTTATATGAAAAACGGTGGAAGAGAATAGCGCGGGAAGTTTTGACAACGAAATGTAGTCGCGAATTGTGCCCCAATTAAACAATATTGTAAATCTTGCTAATATTATAAATGCGAATGTTTAGATGAATGTTTATTTGAAGGTATCTCCGGAACGGCTGAACGAATATTTGTGAAATTTGGTATAGATGTAGAATATAGTATGGAAAGCACATAGGTTACTAATTAAGTTTTTTTTTTAATTCATGCAGAATGGAATCGCGGGCGACAACTACTTTTTATTATAGTCTGTACATAATACGATGTTAACCTTAATTATAATAAACAAAATTAGTAATTACGATAGCAAACAAAGAACTGCATTTGTACAACTTCCGTATGTCAAGATACGTTGAACAATTTGTATGACTATCTAATCTAATCATACAACATACAATCAAATGATCGACGAGTGATCCCATTAAAATATCAAATGTCTTACATCAGATGATAAATATGTCTAGGGTTGCCAACTATCAAAACGTTGACAAAGAGTAAGCTACGAAAAAACACTAGTGACTTCACAACCTTTAGGATTCATAGATGACCCTAGAACTAAATCTTAAATGAAGTAAAAAAGTGATACGTGACATTCCGTAGCCCGAATGCATCATCAAGGAATTCGAGTCAACGCCGAACACTGTCTTCTATAAATGGTCTGGCTTTAAGATTTAGCATTTTGTGCCTATTTGATTTTCGCCATTTTGGCGCTGCATGTAGTGGTTTGTAGCGGCGTTGTTTCTGACTTAACATTAACTGGCAATTTTAAATTAGAAGCAATAGCTGTTTTTTTGAAGCAATCTCATAATTACAGAGATCAGGGGCGCCGAAGAATATCCCCAACCCTAGTTTAGACGCAAAATGTCTGTCAGATAGTAATGTAGATTCATCAAATAATCCTGATGTAGATTAAGACGACCTCGTCATTTCTTTATCCGATAAGAAATCACACGACAAAAATTTCACATTGAAAAAATTTCTTATCAATTTAAACGTATTTTTTGCGAATGTATGTCATTTATCTTATAGTTTCAATTGTGGAAATCAGAACAGAACCAATTCTCTTTTATCAATATTAATGATTCAGGTCAAATCGTTAGGTGTTTTGTTTTGAATTTTATTGGTTTTTGAATAACATTTGGAAGTGAACTTGATTTGAAAGGTTAAAAAGTTAAGTTAAAAATCTTGGAGTTAATTTTCTCTTTCATCAAATTTACTGATGCTTAACTTTTACAATGAAATAAAGAAAGGTAGCGTGGTTGACGTGGCCTAGTTACAAACTTAGGTCAGTCTTCGAGCCACTCAGTGGGAACGTATAGAAGCCGAACTTATTACTAATATTATGAATAGGAATGTTTAGATGGATGGATATTTGTTTGAAGGTATCTCCAGAACGGCTGGTCGGGTCACGATGAATTTTGGCATAGACGTAAAGCATAGCATGGAAAAACACAAAGGCTACTAATTGTTTCTTTTTTAATTCCGCGCGGACGGTGTCGCGGGCGACAGCTTGTCAGCCATAATAGTGTGTCATGGCTTAAAATAAAAGCAAGTTCAACTCTTGCTCTTTTATACAAGCGTTAAACTTTTAATTGTCACTTAAAATGAACAATTAAACTAATCATAAACAATTATGATCAAAGAAAACCGCGTTGATTAAAGGAATGTGTTCTTATAAGTTGTAATTACTGAATGTTAGTAACGTGCTACAATGTAGAATTAAACAAGACATATAAATTTGACAGAGCCTTTGTGATGGATGTTACTAACGTGTAGCTTTTTAAACAGTTAATGAAACAGATCAAGATTTTTTTTAAATTTTCTAAAGGTGCCTCTCCTCTTTACTAAAGTAGGTTGGTTGTCAGTTCAGTAAACTTTAACTTCTCTTCTGCCAATTGATTTTTAATATTGCAACATTTTGTTACTTCTAATTAACAGTTCGACAATAAGATCTAGGTAGTAAAAACTTAATACGCACAAGTAACACTATCATGAATTAAGTTAATTATAATTTAAGTATGGAAAATCCAATAGATTAATAAGCCATTTCCTGAATAAATATATGGGAAAAACTAATTGAATAATTCATACTAATTAAATTTGTAGACACGTGCATTATTTGTAAAAACGACGAGAAAGTTTATTTCAATCTTACTTCTTACTAATATTATAAATACCAACGTTAATATGAAAGGATGTTTATTATTAGGTATCTCCAATACAACTAAACGAGTCTCGTTAATTTTTGTCATAGATGTAGAAAATTGTGTAGAACGCATAGACTACTAAAAACTTTTTTTTTAATTCCGACCTGAATCAATCGCGACATCTAGTAATAATATATTTATTATTGTCTTACTTTTTAAATAAACAGATATTTGTATATAACACTTGATTGTTTAAATAATTGATTATAAATTATACATTGGTATATCAGGTCAGGTGTCAAGCACATGACTTGTAATCTGCAGGTCCTGGCTTCGAATTCCGCCATGCACCAATGTGTTTTTTGATTTCCGATTTACATATGTCCATTTATCCGACGTTCTTACGGTGAAGGAAAACATCGTGATGCTACACATCTGAGAAGAAATTCAAAGATATGTGTGAAGTCAACCCGCACTGGGTCAGCGTGGTTGACTATGTCCTAGTCACTCGTGACTTTGGTTAGGCTCCGTACCCCTAAGTAGGGATGTATAGTAAGCTAATGATATCATTGTATTATATTTATGACGATTTCTTCAATAAAAAAGCTTGTCTTATTTGATTATTTCTATTACTTTGCAAACTACAATATAAAACACGCGTAGGCGTTAAGTACTTTATACAATTACATTTACAAATTGACTTACTCTACATCTAATTGATTCGTTTTTTATCGTTAAATATGATCTTGATAAATTAGTACTTACATCTTTACTATATTTCATATAATTTTTAAAGATATAATATTACTATTCGTTATAATAGTTATAATAAAATACCTATATCTTAAACAGCTCTTAAAGGAAAGTAAGTACTTAAATTGATACTAAAAATGTTACCATAAATGTTTTTATAAGTTAGAAGTTAAACCTAAAACCTCCGATGTATGAATTAGACTAGATATATTCCCCGACCTTATACTTTTTAGTGCTCATTCAGAAAACTTCAAGTGAAAGTTAAATTTTAAGTTAGTTAAGTATTTACGAAGTATGAAGTGGCAATTTAGAAATCGCTTTCTCACCCTATTTTGTAACATAAATGAAATAAAAAGAATCTATAACTATTCTTAAAATGAGTGATATTTTTGAAAAAAATTTAAAGCTACTTCTTAATTTGTATCAATTTCGTGAATTTCCCTGATTTTTAAAGTAATTATCGTAAGTAATTAATATTCTTTTATCACAAATCCGTTACATTTTATTCATATTTTGAAAAAATAAATACAATAAAAAGTAATCATTTAAATACCTGTTTCTTGAACGGGGTTATCCATTTTTTCTTTCCCATTTTAATATTCACACGAACACTTTAGCACAAACTAAATTGATTTAAAGAAATCTTACATAATTTTATTGGAATACGATAAGATTCGTATACGTCAATATTATCACCAATACATCGATAGTATTGCAGTTAGAATTATTTTGCTACTGATATTGCGGAGTACAATTCGCAACAAATCTACAGACTGCCCCGCACGATGGCCACTGGCCAATATCTGCGAGTACTACGCAACCTTGTGACCACACTTTTCACATTTGAAAGGACTTGTATTATATTGAAAAATGTTAATTACATTTACCACGGACGCTCCTTAAGCACGAAGCATATAATATACTCATGGATAGCATTTAGTAATATTTTAAATATAATGAATTTATCCCGTTGCCATGGTCACCCTATTTTCCCGGTATGTATATAGTAAGACGTTGCCAATTGTGACGTACGCAGTTTCAGGTTCACATTTTGTTTACATTGAGTTCGTTGTTTGGTCAGCAGTGGTTAGAAGCACTTGTTACTGTAAATTAGTAGTCCAGGCTGGTCTCAAATAAATAACGTATAAGCAAAATGTAATTAACCTTGATAGTACTTCATACCAATTGTAGACAAGATTTGTTACACAACGCCATTCGCCAAATCTGTGATAGCATTTTTTGTGACCCAACATTTGCAGAACCGAATTTGGTCAATGTTCTTTGAATGAATATCGTACGATCTAATAATAGTAAATAATGTTCGAATATAGGAATTTTTGTTACGATTTTAGTGCAAGTTGGTTTTAGGTATGAAGTTTTTGTTACAAATTTAAAAAATACTCAGAAATCTAGAAATATACATTTTTTTACCTGATATGAATTTAACAAAATATAGGAAATGACACAGGATTAGTGATTTTGGTAATTCATCAAATAAATAAAACAACAAATAACTCACATTACAACTTAATTTTATTTCTTGCATTCGTCGTCTAAATAATGAACAATCACAATACAAAATATACACCCTGTTTATTGAATCTGAAGCGATTTATGCAAATTATACAAAAAAAAAACAACATTAGGGTGAGAACACATCACAGCGAACGATGTAAAAAAATGTACTTATTTCTACATTATTTCTTCCCTATCTTATATATTAAATACATAGCAACATAAAAAATGCGCGTACAAAAGTTCAATTCATACAAATTTCACAGCAATCAAAGATAATGAGGTAAAATGTATGACACAAAATTGAAAAAGATGTATTTGCAACATCCCGAAAACTAAAATCCTCGATCAACAGGATTTTTCTTGAAATCATTCTAAAAAAAAAAACTATCCAGAGACACGTGCCTGCCGTGTACTTACATCTTGAATGCATTGACCAAAAAAAAAACACATAAAACATTGTAATAATCGAAAAAAAAATTATAACGCGAAATAAATTCAGAATACGTAGACATCCCTTTTAAAAACATAGCTACACCATTCAAAATTCATACATCAAGTAATTGATATTTTTTAATGTTAGTGTAACATATAATTTACGATTCTTACCTCGAGGCATTCGACATCTACGTAAATTATGCTTACGATTTTCTTATGAACTTATCTTGAAAAATACTAGACCATAATCCATTAACATGTTAATTGTTATAAAAATAAATCAACTCACACGATCCAAGAAAAAAAAATATCCAGTTTTTTCAAACATTCGTCAAAATATAACTTTAATGTGGTCTCACCCTAATTAGAAAAAAACTACCAAAAAAAATGTCGGATTCAGTGTTCGGCGCTATGTACACTCAACAACAAAAATAACAGTACAAAAAAAAACTTAAAAAACTAAAGCGAAACATATATTTGTCCTCTTCCATATTTACATTTTATATTCGGAGGTGGGTTTACTACGAAAATACATACTTTATATGTCTTTTTTTTTATTATTTTTTTATGCATATATATTTATTTTTTTATCTAATAAAAATGCCAAAGAATTCCTTACTAACATTTATATCTTATTTTATATTAAATCTTAATTCAGATCTCTCAAATATTATATTAATTTCAAGCAACATAAACTTGCTAATATTTTTCAAAATATAAATATAGTTGCCAAGAATGTGTTAAAAATTAAACATAGAAATTGTGAATCAAAATTGCCTTCAACAATCATTTCATTTATAAATTTTCAAAATATAAATTAAATGATTAATAATATAACATTTCGTGATTAAAATTTGGAGGAAATATATATTTTTGAATGTTTTCAGTACAATTTAAATACGGTCAAAAGTGCGTTATATCTTCAAACGTTATTTTAATGTAGCAACTTATTTGAGTAAAGTTTTCCAACGAATTATTTAAGGGTAGTTTCCATTAATGTCCACACAAAAAATCTAATATAATTTGTTCAATATTATAAGTGAGAAAGAGAAAGTGAACAAGCGAGGAGTCGTCTGTACCACAGCACACATTGGTCCTTGTGATAAATACATATATAAAATATAAATTCTAAGGTCCGTGTGTTCAGCTAGATGCTACGCTATGTTTTAGCTATATTAATATATCATTTTGTGTAGTTTCAGGATCTTGCCGAGGCGCTGTTTGGCCGTCTTCATACCCTTTTTCAGTCTTATATCTGAAAATAATTCAATATGTTTAAAATTCATTGACACAGTTTGCTATTTAAAACATGGAGTTCAGTTGAGTTTTTAAGTTTTAAATAGTGAAATTTGGATGGTCTAATAAAAATAGTATATTCATGTTTCGTTTTCAATAAACAACCACAAATCTTACTAATATTATAAATACAAATGTTTGGATGAATGTTTGTTAGAAAGTATCTCCGGAATTTGATAAAATTATAATCCAGCGCGGACGGAGTCGCGGCCGACAGCTAGTGATAAAAATGCGTAAAAACTGTAAAAAATTGTTCAGTTCATATAATTCAAGTAACATTCTGATCAAAAAATTGATCTATTAAGTCTATTTTAAAATATCACCAGTGGAAATGCACGTTAGTTCACACTGGTTGACTGTTAAGGTGCACTTCCACTGTTGTTATTGCGAACAATATATATGTGTAAAGAGATGTGGGAGAGTACCTGCACACTTATTCTTGTGTTGCGGCTGCACGCTGACGCTCGCAGGCGGTCGCTTGCTCTTCGAAGCTAGAACCGCGCGTTTTGCGTTCTGAAACATACACAAAAAATATTAATATATTTTGAACGTCAGAAAATCTATTTGAAATAATCATAACAATTTTCGTTTAATATTAATATTATGAAAAGGAGAGATTTGTTTACATTAAATAGGCTCCGAAACTACTGAACTGATTTGAAAAATTCTATTACTGTTAGGAAGTTAAACTATCCCCGCGTGGAATAGGCGAAGCGTGACAAAGTCGCGGGAACTGATAGTTAATAATATAGAGATATAAAGTCAGTCGGACATTACAATGTCAGGGACAAAACTAGGACACATTTAGAAATATAAAGAGCGTATGTGTAGGTAGGTACCTGTAGGGGCGCGTGCGCATGTGTGTGAGCGTGCGGGTGCGGATGTCTGTGTGCGGCAGCGAGCAGAGCAGCGCGCACGCACTCGCGACGCACTGCGGGCCGCGCCGGACCTCGCGTGCGCGGCGTCACGCGACCCACACGAGCACGCGGCGACCACGCCTCGTCTCTGAAACACGGTACACATCTTCAAGTTAAATAATACATACGTATACTTATCAAAGTTCATTATTAACAGGTAGTTCATTACTGCTAAAGGGAAAACTTAAAAGCTTTGCAGCAAAAAGAAATGTAGTTATGACTTATTTTTTGAGTGATTGAAGTGACAATATATTTTTATCCAAAGCTCATAGAAAATGTCGAAATACATAGATTATTAACTAGAATGTTACTGTATAGAACACTTTTGACTATTCAAGTGTATTTTCCTAGAACAGGCGTTTCAAGCAATTTACGATTGTAAAGACGACGGAAAATATGAGGACGGAGAGTGGTTTAATTAAGATGAATTTTGGCATTTATATAATAAAATAAAAATATATTATAATAAATATATAATAAATATATCTATTTTATAGAATCATGAGAATGAAGAGATAAGCACGCACTGTTAGAAGATATATTTACAACTACACTTTTAAATATAGAGAAAAAGGAAGAAAAAATATATAAAAATTATGATTAAAAAAAAGTGTAAAGAGGTTCCGTATCCGTCGGCAACAAGTTGGTATGCCTTCATTTTATTTCTTGATTATAAAGTGTGCATCAAATTGTATCTTGTATCAGTAGTGACAGACTACATACTTGTCAGTCCTGGTCTTGCTGTCGTTCCTGTTGCGTGAGTGCCGGCGCCTGCGCGAGGAGGTCCACTCCTCGTCCTCATCGGAGCTCATCTCTAACGATGGATACACTGAAAATAATAATTTTAATGATTAAGTTAAATAATTATCCATTTCATAATTCACTATCGTAATTATTTGTACTATGAGCAATCTAACTCAACGCACATGTATATATGAACTTGAAAGAGACGAGAAAGGTGAGTCAGAACTAGCCAAATGAAGGCCTCTGCCTACCCCTTTGAGTTACAAACGTTGAGTTGTTTTCAATTATTACTATAATTTTAATGATCATAAGAAATGCACAAAATTATTTATTGCAGATTTTCCAAGTTCATTCTGGATACAAGCGGTTCCAACTCACCATACTCCTCATCCCGGTGCACCTCCTTGATGACATCCTCCTCGTCTGCAAAGTCCT